GTGGGGTCCTTGGTGCTTTCTGCACTTGGTTGGTTTTTTTGCAGATATTTCATTAGCCAACTACCTAGGGCTCCACATATCTTATCTTACTTCCACCCAGAGAATATTTATGAGTCTGTATAAAGGGGAGGAACTTTTATATTGATTTAGATATAATCCTGAAGGAAGTTCCTGGGAAATACAGCCAAGTTAGTTTGTAAATATTTAGCACTTTAGCAGTAGTGTGGACAATTATGGAATTCATTTTTTCACTGAACAATTTACAGACAGAAAGCAGAATAGCTGTCATACCCATTAGAATCTGACTCTGAGGGAGAGGAGGAACAGCCAACAGGGAATAGGAGTGTGGCTCTGGAGATTGTGGAGGAAACTGGGGAAGGGCACAGGCCAGCTGGGCATTCAGAGGAAGACCCAGGCCCATCCCCTCTTCATCCTAGGGCATTCAGGGAGGAGCGGATAAGGGAAAAATGTGAATGGCGTGGTCTACAGGGGAGGAAAGGGCCTTGATCCTCTTCATGGGCTGCAGCTGTGAGGGCTGTTTAAAAGGACAAACTGCACATGGGCCAATGCTGGAAGCAAAGCATGAAAATATGTCTAGTCTGTCAGTTCTTATCTGAATTCTGGCGTCCTTCCCAGTGTGTGTGTTTTGATATCTGTGGATGTCTTCAAGCCCTTATCCTGCCTTGTCTCATTAATTTTTCAGTGTGGTTTGTGCACTGGTTACCAGTATTTAGCAATACTAGAGGACAATAAGCTGTTGTTCAACAATGGTCAAGGATGCTGAACAACAAGATCCTCCCTACTCATAAGGACAATGCACAGCCCATTACAAGATTGAAATCCCATAGGCCATCTTGGAAAACAGCTCTTCACTTAACTTCTACCCAGTTTAACCCTGAGAAGAGGAATGGTCAAGGTTCCTCCTTGTGTCCTGACAATTAATGATCCTTGCAATAGTGGCAAATATCTGTAGCCTGGAGAAAGGATGAGGGTTCAGGTTTGTTCTCAGAGTTTGTAGTTTGGTTTCCGAATGTTTTGTTACCAGGCTAGGTAACATCTTCAACAGGATTGTCAGTGTCAGCGTTCTATTTATAAGGGCTTCAGGTGTGGGTGTGTCAAGTGATGGTCTTGTGATGGGTCAGCTGTGAATCATCAACGAGTCTTGTGACAAGGAGATTATCTCAGGTCAGGGTCATTGGGAGGTGATGGTGGGGAATTGCATGGGTTGGTTGAGGGTCGGTGCTGTCTCTGATTGGCTGTGCTGTTGATTTGGATTCTGAAGGGTTCGTAGGCTAGTTGCAGGTCAATGTGTCTGTTGATGGAAGTGATGCTTGTGGAATGCCAGGCTTTGATATGAGTGTGGCAGATGGTAGTGTGGCCAATGATTTCTGTGTTGCTCCAATCAAACTGGTGCTGTTCGGTGTCAGGGTGGTAGAAATTAAACATTTGGGACTGTGGCGTTTGAGTGCCAGTCAGTATTTATGGATCCTGGTCTTTAACTTGAACATCCCATGTAGAATTGGTTGCACTGGTTACACTTGATATTGTGGATTACATTGTTTCTTTCATCCTTCTGTAGTTTGTCTTTGGTTCCATTATTTTTTGTTCCTAGAGAATGGAAATAAGTTTCATTTGCCAATTGGAATCTGCATCGCTACTGCAAAGTTCTATATAAGAAATTAATGACCAAATAAACTAAGATGAAAATATCAACCTTCATGCATTAAGCAGAGAAACTGATTCACTTTACTTTATGTTTTTCACTGTGGTGTGTAGACATTTTAAAATGGCATTTTCTTCTGTCTCTTGGACAATTACAACCAGAAGAATGGGGGAGACTTCTCCAATGATACTGCAGTAAAAATAATTCCTTTGTTCTATGCGATCACCGTGGCTTGACCTAGAAAAGCAGCACTGCTGGCTTGTGGATCAAACACTCACCAGCTGTTCTCAGAAGCCCAGCCTTAGCAACCTATACTTAGACATGATATGTGTGTGTGTGTGTGTGTGTGTGTGTGTGTAGCTTTTGTTAAGAACACAAAGGACTCCAATCTCCTGAGCAACAACAGTGTTTTCTGTTTTATATCAAGCACACCAGTCTGACAAACATCTGGTAAAAGAATGCAAATAGATCTACATTAAAATGTATCAGATCGTAACAGAAAAAAGCAAGGTGTCTCCTTTTATTTTCTGCTCCCCATCTTTCACCCTTCTGTTCTACTGTTTCACTACTTTCACACAATGTGTTGCTATTGCTCCTTGCTTCCACCACTTGTGTTTCCCCAAATGAGACTCTTCTGCCTTCATTTTCAAGCTCTGCATCTTTCCTTCTTTGTGGAAAATGAGTTACCCCTCTTGCTACTTCCTGATGGATCTTAACATTACCCCAACTACCACCAGTAGCCTACGCTGCTGTGTTTTAATTCCTTCTCAAAGCTCCTTCTTGGTCCTTTATGTACACATTTCTTCTTGTGGAAAGGAATGAAACTAAGTTCCACACACTAGACAGAGTTGAAAATCCAGTTCTGGTGCTACCCATATTGTCCTCTCCTAAACCGACCAATGTGAAGAAAATGTGTATGTACAATAGTATTGTTATGCCAGATGCTTTTCCCTTGGTCTTGATGTGATCTTTGCTGTGGAGATTTCCTCAAGCAGCTTTCCTTTCTCATAGAATGCTATACTTCCTAAATATCTGTTTCATCTTTGATGTTTCCCATAATACTCAGCTGCTAGTTGAACATCAGCACCTACGGGCCAGTAGTAGAAGAACAGATATGTCTTTAATAGGGAAAAACTTTGAAGTGTAAGCATGCATGAAAAATAAAAGATCCTGTTATTTGATATTGAGAATAGTTAACCTGCGGAATGCTTTGCCAGCAGTTGTGTTAATGGAAAGAAAATGGGGAGGAGATTCTCAACTGAACAGCAAGCATCCTTTCCCTACATCTTGGGAACGTAGTAATTAAAATAAAACAAAACCAACTTCTCATTTCAGGATGATTGTTCAGATTGTGGAGAACATTTTAAATGAGGTCATTTGAGGAAAAAGGGGAAGCTCCTTTTCCTTCTCCTTCCTAGGCACACAACAGCAGGAAAAAGGAGATCTGTGTAGATACAAATGTGATGATGAACATTATTATATCAGGGGAAGACAGGATCTATCAATGATTAGCTTAAACTAAAGGCTTTATTGAGGTAATCAAATTTCATGACTCTGCAGGTTGTGATGAGCTAAAGTTCTGGAAAGATTATGCCTGCATCTCAAGATTTAGTCTCTTCTAATCAAACCAAATTTACAATACTTAGGTTAGAAAAGCTATGTCTGTATACATGGAGGGGGTGCAATGTCTCAGCAGTTGGAAGCTGGAAGCTGAGAGTCCAGGTTCAAGACCTGAGTGCTGCACAATGGGGTGAGGTCCCTTTACTTGCTCCAGCTCCTCCCACTTAGCAGTTTGAAAGCATATAAGACATGGGAAGATAACAGTGTTCCATGCACCTCAGCATATAGTACTGCTGGCCACATAACCATGGAAGTGTCTTTGGACAATTCTGGCTCCCTTGGCTAAGCAAAGGAGATGAGCACCATGCCTCAGAGGTAGAAATGACTCGATGGGGTATACCTTTATCTTTTGTATACATATGTGTAACTGCACCACCACAAAAATGGTTCATATCCTATCCTTCCTTTTGGACTCAGATTTAAAAAGTTAAAATAATTGGTAAGTGGTTTACTTTTGAGTCCTGCTTGAGTTCTGATCATAGAAGGGCTTTTTCGTGTATTGGAATAGAATTTTCCTTTCAACTTCAGGATATGATTAACAAAAATATATTTTTTAAAAACTTCATGACGGTACAAGAATCCCAGATACAGATTTCACAAAGTCCTTCTGCCTAGATTTAATTGTGAATATTCTATGTAAACCAAGGGATTATAATGTCTCTCAATGACCTTTCTTACATTTGATTGAATGAGGATGTTTATTTATTTCAGTGAAGTTATTACAAAGCATAATGCTTGTTCCTTCTTGGGACAGGATATCCAATTACTCGAAGTCTCAAAGACCAGCTTTATGATTCTTACCTATGTTGATAGTCTAGTTGTACAACCCTTGTTCAGGCTAAGGGTTTCACTTTCTTTTGAATAGATTCTATGTTTGCATTCAGAAAAATATTCAAGACCAATACAAACACCAAATGCAATGAGTAATAATCAATGGCACTTTGATTTCAATTTAATAATATTTGTCCTCTGTTACCTTAAATTTTTCGATTCATTGAAGCAACAATTTTTGAAGCTCTCCTTGAAGGCATATTCAGGGCTGGGTAATTGTGTTATAAAGTTACAGGGAATCTTGGACCCTAATTCAAAATAACTGCCTTCTGCCTAAGACAAGGCCAGGATGTTGAAAATTAAAAATATAATTTGATATTTCAGATATCTTCTTCAAGAATGAATTATTGCCTCTAGGCTCTATGAGATAAAGACTACAAACAGAGATGTACCATGGTTCTAAGCCAAATCCCTTACTACTACTAGTGCCAGATTATTAAATCTAAAAGAAGGCTTCCTTGGCACTTCCTAGTAGTAACAGCATGGTGGTTGATAGTCAGAACAGTTAAGCTGGAGAAATGGATTAAAATCCCATTTTCCTCTTCCCAATGACCACTCTTCTTATTCTGGAAAACTTACATGAATTTGGGCTAACTCTGAGAGATAGCAGAGAAATAACAGAACTACAGAGTTGGAAGGGACCTTGGAGGTCTTCTAGTCCAACCCCCTGCTCACTCAGGAAACCCTAAACCATTTCAGACAAATGGCTGTCCAATCTCTTCTTAAAAACTCTTCCAGTGTTGGATCACCCTCTTCTGAAGGCAAAGTCGTTTCATTGATTAATTGTTCCCACTGTCAGGAAATTTCTCCTTTATTCTAGGTTCTTCTCTCCTTCATTAGTTTCCATCCATTGCTTCTTGTCCTGCCCTCAGGTGTTTTGGAGAAGAGATTGGCCATCTTTTCTTTGTGGCAGCCCCTGTGATATTAGAACACTGTTATCATGTCAACTCTAATCCTTCTTTTCAGGACAGAGGAGCCTAGCCTTCTATGGTCCATGCGGTTGCGAAGAGTCAGAAATGACTTAGCAACTGAACAACAACATTCCATTTCTTAGGGTAAGAAAGGGAGACTGGGATTAAGCTGATTATTAAAGAACCTATTATGATAATTAAATGCAGTTTCACCCAGTGCCCAACAGAGAACTAAGTGGAATAGTCAGATTACAAGTTCATAAGAGACATAAACTTTTGGATGGAATCCACAGTGGATAGATAGGTGTATATAGAGGAAGACAACTGCTTGGCAGTTCCCTCAAAAGCTTGAGAACCCTTTAAATCCTGGTGTGGGAATATCTCAATTTGTCAACGTGGAGACTTGTCATAGTTATTAGGAATAAAAAGTGTAACTACCCAGTTGTAGGAATGGGTTATATGTCTCCCATGTCTGGGAAGCAGAAATCCAGGTCACCACTTCATCACAGAAAAAAAAGCTAGTTTTATGATTCTATTTGTCGCCATATAAGGTTGTCAGGATTTGTTACAGACCAGATATGGTAAGCCTGAGACCACTGTACCCCAGCTGCTCATTTCTCTGCATCAAAAATAGTTTGGAATTTTCCACCATAAGGAAAAATCCATCATTATGAATCACTGCTTAAGCTGTAAAATGTTCATGAATTTGTAGAAAAGTGGGAGAAATTAATATTCAGTTTCTGTTCTGAATATGTTACAGAGATTTTGCCTCATGCCTCTTAGACTCACAGAGTAAGAATTCTCAAGGCCTTTAGGTTCTTTCAGGTATCACTAAAACTTGCTCATTCTCATACATCAACATGAAACAAATTCTACCAGTTTTCCAACCCCCTGATAAGATTCTAACCAAAAGCTGGCTCTGGTGAATTCAATACTAAATGCAATATGGGAGAATGAAATCCAACAAGTATTTATTTTATTTATGTATTTATTTATTTTGTCAAGCGATTATAAGATAACAGGTATAAATATAAACATAGTTATGTATACATGAAATACATATAAGAAATATATATAAGATACATATAGGTTAGATTTTTTATTTAACCATTGCTCAATATACGCTGTAAAATGTGTGTGTGTGTGTGTGTGTGCATATGTGTGTGTGTGTGTGTGTGTGTGTGTGTGTGTTGATTTGTCTGTTTTAAATGTATGTCAAATAAATGTTTTTTTCTAGAATAAAAATTTAAAAAAATAAAAAAAGATACGTATAGATTACATCTAAGAAAAATAAAAAGAAACAACAAAAGAAAAAGAAATAATAGGACAGGGATGGTAGGCACGTTGTTGTGCTTATGCACACACCCTACAGACCTCTTAGGAAAGGGGTGAGGTCAATAGTAGACAGTCTAAGGTTAAAGTTTTTGGGGTTTGGGAAGAAACCACAGAGTCAGGTAGAGTATTCCAGACATTGACCACTCGGTTGCTGAAGTCGTATTTCCTGCAATCAAGTTTGGTGTGGTTAACCTTGAGTTTGTATCTATTGTGTGCTCTTGTATTGTTAGGGTTGAAGCTGAAGTATTCATTGACAGGTAGGACATTGCAATATATAATTTTATATGCTATACTTAGATCGGACCGAAGACGGCGTAGTTCTAGGTTTTCTAGGTCTAGAATTTCAAGTCTGGTGGCATAAGGTATTCTGCAACGAGTAGAGGAGTGGAGAACTCTTCTTGTGAAATATTTCTGGACTTTCTCAACTGTATTAATATCAGATACGTAATGTGGGTTCCAGACTGATAAGCTGTATTCAAGCATTGGTCTAGCAAATGTTTTGTATGTTCTAGTTAGTAGTGTGATATTACCAGAGAAAAAGCTACATAAGTTTAGGTTAACAACTCTTAATGCCTTTTTGGCTATGTAGTTACAGTGGGCTCTAGCACTTAGATCATTAGAGATGAGTACGCCAAGGTCCTTGACAGAATTTGGATCATTAACAAGGTCTTGACTATTCAGCTTGTATTTTATTTTTTTATTTTTTTGCCAATATGTAAGACAGAGCATTTATTTGTTAAGTTTTGAAGTTGCCATTTGTTTGACTATTCTGATACATAGTCAAAGTCTTTTTGAAGGGTAGCAGTATTGTCTGTGGTGTTGAATAGCTTTACATCATCAGTGAAGAGAACGCAGTTGCTCTTCATATGATCACAGAGATCATTTATGTAGAGTATTAAGAGAGTTGGTCCTAAAACGCTGCCTTGGGGGACACCACTGTTGACAGGTACAGGATTTGAGAAGACGCTCCCAATTATGACCATTTGTTGTCTGTTTGACAGGAATGCTTCCATCTAGTTATGCAGGTGTCCAGAGATACCATTGTGTTTTTGCAATGTAAAAGTTGCAGATTACAGGATAGTTTTTTTCTGAAACCGAATTGTTTATTAGAGTAGGTTGTCTCTAAGTGGAGGATAATGGATTGGTTAATAATTGATTCCATGACAAATTTGGCAAGAAGCTGGTCCTGAAAGATTTTTCAAAGATTATGCTTAGAGGTTCAGCTATGGCAGTGGATAGCTTTTTAAGAAGTAGGCACATATTCCATCCAGTCCAATAGATAGAGATGGTTTTCGATTGCATAGTGCTTTTTCAACATTGTCTTCTGTAAAATCGATATGTATTAGATCATTGTAGTTGTCTGTGGTTCGACTAGGAAATAGTGGGCATAATCCATTGCTGTTTACAAATACTGAGCCAAAGAATGTGTTAAAGACATTGGCTTTAATGGTGTAATCATTGCAGTCTTTACCATTAGGTCCTTTCAGGGGTGGGATGGATCTTGAGTCTTTTAGTTTGTTGTTTACAAAATTGTAGAAAGCGTGAGTGGAATTGGTGTGTAGAAGGTTTTCCTCTTGTTTAATGTGATAATTGGTGAATTCAGTCTTTATATGGTGGCATAAATTTTTGTATCAGCTTTTGAAGTTGGCAACGTGACCAGATTTGTTTTTCCACCAAAGTGATTTCTTTTTGGATTGAAGCTATTGTTATGGGTAATTTGTTTTTTCTGGTTTTGGGAGTTGTTATTGGTACATATAGTTTGATGACTCTTTTGACACCAAGTAAAAATATGTTATAATGGTCTTCAACAGTATTGCATCCAGTGAATAGAAATTGCCAATCAAGAGATGAGAGATCATTGTCTATAAAATCATAGTTGCCTTTTTTGAAGTTATAATTAGGGATCCCGTTGTTATGATGATTTTTGTGTGGACGTATGTTGAGACAAAAGTCAATCATGTTGTGGTCACTGTTGGAAAAGGGTTCTTTAATTTGTATTCGGTAAATTGAATTAATACTATTGCAGAAGATGAGATCGAGGCAGTTGTTAAGTCTAGTATTGTTGGTTATTATTTGTTCCAGTCCCAGATTTGTTACAGCATTGTAGAAGGTTGCATGTATGTGTTCAGTTTTACATTCGTTTAGGGTCCAGTAGGAATGAATATTTACAAAGTACGAAACCAAAAGCAAACAAAAAACTTGTCTCAGAGATTGGAGATTATGACTAGTCTACAGATTGATTTGATTGTCATTCACTGCATCTCTATCCACCAGCTCACCTGATCCACTTTCTGCTATTCCACCCCTGGCACTGAATCACTTATCTAACAAACCGAGAACTTGAAACCCCTGGTCAGGGACATTGCACACTCCTAAAAATACAGTGAACAAATAGTCTGCCTCCGGTTGAAACGAAATGAATTTAAATTCTCACCTTTTGATAATTGCCCAGTGGTGTTCCTTCTGTGCCAGAATTTCATTATGGCAGGTTTCTTTCCCTATTTATAATGATGCAAATGTTTGCTTAGCTGAATAGTTCTATTTATTATTTGCCATGTTTATGAAAGCACTCAAATGCCTTCTTTGCTTGTAACTATAGGTCAAGAAAATGCTCAGATTCGCCCATTTAAGTGGGTTCCATAACTGTAATGTCTCCCTGCCGTCTGCAAAATGTGCTGATGAGCTATTCATTCACGAAGCTGTAAGTCTTCTGGGCTCAACTAGCTTTGAAATGTAGATTTGCAGATTGCCATTTCTTTAATGCTTTAGCAAAAAAAAAGACATTTTCACCTAACAACAATTTTCATGAAGATGTTATATGTTCTAAAAAATGATATGCAGCAAACCTGTGTATCCTCAACTCCTCAATTTCTTTTAAGACGCTCCCCAAAAGATGTAGAATGCTTCAGTATTTGCTTGAAATTAGTTTAGCACTGCTTCCACCAAGCTCTAAATTGCAGTGATCTAAAAAAAAAACATCATGAGTTTTACAAGCCAACCACAATAAATGCTAATCACAGCTGACTAGTTGAGATTAAACAAATTATAGCTCATGTAAAAATGAAATTAAAATGTTATATAAAGTTATAACAGAGAAAGAAAGGGAACAGTCCTTGTAAAACTCAAGTGTTTTAGTTTTTCTGCATCATAATGTAACACAGATCAAATGAACTGATAATTTTCTATCCACTGCCTGTCTCCCATTTTCCATTATGCTATTATTGGAACTAGCAAAATGTAGGCATACTGTACTAAGGAAGGCAGTCAGGATAATACCGTTCTATAAGCAATTCCCATCATAGAGACTAAACAAAGAATGGGCTGTTTTCTAAGGAGACCTTCTTTTTTGTTTCATGCTTTAGCTATGGAAACATTATAGTACCATCTAGTGACAATTTGCAAATATTACAATACAGTAATATTCTACACACAAAGCGGGTCTAAGTCACCATCATATACTGGAAACAAGCCTGGTAAATAAGTTGCTCCTAAGTCCAGAAATAATACAAAAGCTGCAATTTATTGTTGCTGCCACTGTCAGAAAATAATGAAACTCTTTGTGTTGGCTCCATGCAGGATTTTGCTATCTCTGTATTCTTACCAAAAGATGGGCAAATGAAACAGGAAGCAGTTATTAAAATCTCAGTAAGTAGGAATCAGAGGAAGGAACTGTTCAGTCCTACTCTTCAGATCCATACTGATACTTTGTTCCCCCAATCACCCCCAACCTGGTCCTCCCAAACAGCATGGCTAAACAAAGGGAGTGAGGTTTGAGAGGGTTGTTCCAAGGCACCCAGGCAGATATGGTTTTCTTCCTTTTATAATATGTTATTATATAGTATTGTTTTTGAGGATAAAATGTATGACAGAGAAAAAGAGAAAAACGATGTATGCCAAAAATGCAGGTGACTGGCAGCCAGATGGCAGCTAAGAATGGAAATTGGTGTTTTTATTACCATCTCATGGTCACCTAAAGTTTGTAGCCTAGAGATCATGGAAACAGGCACATATACCTAGATACATCTCATGTTCTGCCATCAAAATATTATGGCCTCTATACTCTAAGGCAGGGGTCTCAAACTTGCATCATCACAGCATCATCATGCGACATCATGTGATGTATTGTGACTTTCCCCCCCTTCACTAAATTGGGTGTGGGCACATGATGCATCCAGCCCACGGACTGAGAATTTGACAGCCCTGCTCTACTGCATTTTGAGCCCAGGTGGTGCAGTGGTTAGAATGCAGTATTGCAGATTAACTCTGCCCTAAATTCGATCCTGGCTGGTTTAAGGTTTGCTCAATCTCTCATCCTTCCAAAGTCAATAAAATGAGGACCCAGATTGCTGGGGGCAATATGCTGACATTGTAAACCATTCTTATGTTGTAAAGTACTATGTAAATTAAACACGTAATCATGTGTTAAAAATAGCTTATGGCTTAATACAACGTATAAAATGTATGCCATTATGGATTATTGTTATATATAATCCAGGTTATCATGATTTAACAAACCATGGTTTATAAATCTGGCTTAGTGTAATGTCTGAACAGCACCTAAATAATTTTAAGCTGTGGATTTAGCCTGAATTGATAAAGTCACATCTGAAAGAATCTATAACTTTAGGCTTGTGTTTCTCAACTTTAACCACTTTAAAATGTGTGGACTTTAACTCCCAGAATTCCCCATAGAATGCTGACTGAGGAATTCTGGGAATTGAAATCTACACATCTTAAAATAGCTAAGTCTGTGAAACACTGCTCTAGGTAATGATCATTTCTACTTATGGCATTTTGGGGGGAAAAAATTTGCTCTTTGCCTTCAAAGTTTAAATTGCTTCACACCATCTAAGAGAGAGAAATGAGAAACAATCAATAATAAATGATAAAAGTAAAATCCACTTGGAATTTTACTAATCTAAACAAGTGTTGATCTATATTCTTAAAGTTGCACATCTTGATATTTAAATGTAAATATAAAAACGAAGGCCATTTCCTGCCCTAATAATCTATTGCCCTGACCATTTGTGCTGAGAATTAGACACATGGTCTGTATTCAGTAGGTGGTTTGCATCGTGAGTGTTACTGTGATCCAAGGAATGGATATGGCAATTTTCCTTTTCCTTTTTTCTCTATACTTTTAAAGATAGGTGATTGAATAGGTAGTAGATAATTGATAGGGTACCAATTTTCTTTCCCCATTTTATTCACTGGAATTTACCAGTGTATCAAATCTCAAACCACCAAACAGTTCATGAGAACTCAGTTACATGGGTGCACACAGCTGCCTTAAAGTGAAGGCGCTTCTATTTCACCACTATTTTTATTTCTCAGCCCCCCAGAAGCTGTTTGCTTCTGGAGCTCTAAATGTATTGACTCTCATCACTTTATATTCTGTGGATCACAAAACTGCTGGGAGTAGAGAAAGCAAATAAGAGATGTCCCCTTTGTTCTTTTCTGTATCAGCTTCCCCTTAATTAACACTCTTAAACTCTACTTTTCAGCCTGTTTCCTTCAAGACAAATAATTTATTTCCTTCTAGGGATGCGGTGGTTAGGATGCTGTAGATTGTTAAAGATCCACACCTCAGTAGTTTGAAATCTGAATGCTGTGAGATAGAGTGAGCTCCCACCACATGTCCCAGCTCCTGCCAACCTATCAATTCAAAAGCATGCAAATGCAAGTAGATAGATCCCACATATAACCATGTGGGAAGGTAACAGCATTCTGTGTTTCATCATATGCTCTGTGCTGCGGTGTGATGTCATGCTGGCCATATGATTGTGGAAATGTCTCCATGCAATACAGGCTCTTTGGCTTAAGAAAAAAGAAATTAGTACTGCCACCTAAAGTCGGTCACGATTAGCAGGATAAAACCCACAGGGACAACTTTTTAGGATGATACAAAATATTTCATATAGAAAACATTATATAGACAAAACAGGTAGCTTCGTATCTGGACTAAAACTCAGGAGCCAGGATAAATATGAGTTTTTTCCAACTTGGAAAGAGGATGTCTAAAATATTCCTAGCTTTCCAATAGTTTCTTATTTTGCAAAACTTTCTTAAGTTTCAAAGAAGATAAAATACAAGGAAATGGAAAAAAGTTGAAAGAAAAAAAAGGGAGGTCAGGAAAGAAGCAAAACTGGGAGTATATGAAAAAAGGAAAAGAAAAATATAGAAAAGAATAACTTCCAACTTTTTTGGGGGGTGGGGGACATAAAATACAACAACCTTTTGCTCTGAAATTAATCATTGGACATACTGTAAATAAATAGAAATTTAAAAATTCATAGACATTTTTAATTGTCAAATTGCAAATAAAATAAAATTTTATTTCAATTTATGTCAAGCAAAAATTCCAAAAATGGTTTCAACATAGAAACAAAGCTAGACAAAGCCTTTCATTTAATCAAAGTTGTTTCGCAATTCCACTCTGCAAAAATTTGTGCATTTTCCCATTTCTCTGTGTGGGAAAGTCTTGCTGTTGAGCTTTGCAATAGTTTCCACGGCAGCTGAACTGAAAATACTGTATATCAGCTCAGCTTATGGTCATGATAGTTCTAGAGTTACTTTCAAAGTGGAACAAAATCCTCATGCACAATTACCTTAAATCATACCATTTGATCGTCTATAGCAGTGGCCTCCAACCTTTTTTGTGCCACGGCCCGGTACCGGCATCACAAAATGATCCGCGGCCCGGTACCAGCATCAGCACACATGACAAGGCAAGGCAAGCCGAGCGACCGGCCAGCCAGCCGTCCCCCGCTTCTCCCCGCCACCTTCAACTCCTCCTTTGTACCTTTGTCGATGGGCTTCACTTTGGGACGGCTTCGGGATGATCACTCGGCTCGCCTTGCCTTGGGTGCTGAAAGAATCCTCGCACCTTAGTTTCGTTCGAAGCCCCCCCCCCTTCGATGAAACTAAGGCGCGAGGATTCCTTCAGCACCAAAACGCCACTTTCCAACTGGAAAAGCTCACTTTCTCTTCAAACAAGATGGCGGCACCCAGCAAACCGGTGGCCTGGTAGGAAATGTTCGCCCGGTGGTTGGGGACCCCTGGTCTATAGTGATTCTCAGCCATCCCGGTCACAGTTGTCCCAAAGGTGTTTTTATAAAAGGCAACTGGACTTTCTGGTTTTTCTTTGAAGACATTTTGCTTCTCATCCACATACCAGCCTGATCATTATATTAATTGACAGCACCTCTCCAAAGTTTCAGGCATACGTTTTTTTTTTAACAAAGAAAAATTTGGAGTATTTTATGTGATGGGTGCTAAGATCTGAAAATTGTATTCTAATGAATCATGTGCATGAAAAGCATTTTTCTGTAAAATGGAACTATGATTCCTCTATGTGAAATGTGAATATTCTTTGTCAGCTGTCTCAATATTGCAAACTTATGTAACTTTTTAAATAAACAAGGACATCTGAATCTAAGTATTTTTATATTCCCCTCCCGAAATCAAACACACACACACACACACACCACATATACATATACTATATATACATATACTATGTATACATATACACATACTATGCATACGCATATATACACACGCTCACCTACACATACACATACACCCTGTATTTAAAGAAGCCTTCTCTGGATGTTATTAGATGTCTAAAATAGTAGCATCTTTCTTTGCCAAGATTGAAGACAGTCAATATTATGCTCTAAAGTGCTAACTTTAGCACCTTCATAATCTAATTGCTCTATAGTTTGTACTTATATATAAACTACCTGCTTGCAAAACTTACTTTATTTAGCCAGATGGTCGGCCTGGTGTAAGTGTTCATATATAATCAACTATTTTGAAACAAGGAAGTGCTATTAACATAGAACAATATTTACATGAAATATTGAATATTTGCATGCAATGTAAATAAGGACTCAAGCTATATTTGGTTAAGGAACATTTCCAAATAACACACCATCTACAGTACACTGCAATTCTTGAGAAACCAGTGAGGTTACTTGTAAAAGACTGGTTTCCTGATAACCAATAGTAATTAGGATTGAAAGCTAGAAAGAGATGTTGCTTATCTATGTATCAACTAATATGCTCTTCAGGTGAGGAGTCAAAAAATCCTGCATAATCTAACGATTGTGTGAAGTGAATGTTCTCTTAGAACAGGAAACATTTATAATGACTTCATACATACAAGATGATTCTGCCTTCTTGATGAACAGCTTCTGCCTTCTTCACTACAATTATGGCAATTCAATTCCAAAGTACTTTTCAAAATTAAAATAAAAAACCCCAAAGCATTATTCTGTTGAAAATCTGTTACAGAACAGATAATATAGACTTTGATGATCAGAAGCAAGCCCAGAAGCCATCACCTTCAACTGATATTTGCAAGCCTGTTCTTTTGTTGTTGTTTTTCTCAGTTAGCTTTTTATACTCACAATAATGCTGTTTTCTTAATGGACAGAGGTTATTAATACCTACTGGTTAGAAGGGCCCAGGGAATATGAATCAGAGAGACTGTTTAGTATAGTGATACACTTGATCAAGAGCAAGTGAGGTACTAATGCCACTCAATAAAGCCTTAGTAAGACCACACCTAGATTACTGCATCAAGTTTTGGTCATCACACTATAAAAAAAGAATGTTGAGACTCTAGAAAAAAGTGCAGAGAAGAGCAGCCAGGATGATTAGAGGGCTGGAGACTAAAACATATGAAGAACTGTTATAGGAACTGGGCTTGGCTAGTCTGGTGAAGAGAAGGACCAGGGTAGACATGATAGCAGTCTTCCAATATTTGAGGGGCTGCCACAGAGAGGAAGGGGTCAAGCTATTTACTAAAGCACCTGTAGGCCAGACAAGGAATAATGGATGGAAACTGAACAAGGAGAGATTTAACCTGGAAGTAAGAAAATTTTTGACAGTGGGAACTATCAACCAATGGAAAAGCTTTCCTTCGGAAATTGTGGGAGCACCATCACTTGAGACTTTCAAGAAGAGATTGGACTGCCATTTGTCAGAAATGGTGCAGGGTCTCCTGCTTGGGCATGGGCATTGGACTAGATTACCTACAAGATCCCTTCCAACTATGTTAATCTATAATCTAATCTAGTGCTTTAAGTCACCAGACTAGAAATTGGGGGATTGTGAGTTGTAGTCTTGCTTTAGGCACAAAGCCAACAGGGCCACCCTGTTTTTCTCTTGGCCCTAGGACAGGGGTGTCAAACTCACAGCCCATGGGCCAGATACATCACACGCTAGCCACACCCGCGCCCAGTTTAGCAAAGGGGGAAAAAGTCACAATGCATCATGTGACAATGCTGTGATGACATGAGTTTGACACCCCTGCTCTACAAAAATGGAAAACCATTTCTGAAAACTTTTCAAGAAAATTGTAGGGACTAATCCAGGCAATTGCCAAGAGTCAATACTGACACTCATCTAAAGTGCATAGGTATTCTCTTACCAATTTCTTGCCTATTTTGACCTGCCTTCCTGATTTTATCCCACTGATTTTAATATTAATTCTGAAGAACAGATTAGTTCCTAGTTTTTTTTTTAAAAAAACCCTCTAATTCCCATCAATGAGAGTGAATATCAAATCAAATGTTTCCCCAAACAAGTTCTTATGCATGGGGAAACAATATAATGAAGATGGGCATAAATGTAGTCTCATCTCCTCAGCTATCTGTTGGGAGTGTGGTTCATTTACCATGTAAAATTCCTATAGCTCATTTTGATGCTACTCCCAGAAATATTGAGTATACTTGTGAAATATAGTTTTCCTGTGGTTTATGTATATCGCTTCCAGGGCTGGGGTTCAGCCGGTTCGGGCCGGTTCAAGTGAACCAGATGTTGACATCCAGTTCAGCAAACTGGTAGTTCTATCAGCTGGCCCCGCCTACCCCGCCCCTTACAGGAGTCCCCACGAGGCCTGTCTGGCTCCCAGGTAAGTATAGGAAGCAAGGGGGTAGAGGTTCAGCCTCCTGGGAGCAAAAAAGGCCCCGGGGGGTGGTGCTGGACCCTCTGGGCACTGTTTTGGGCCTAGAAAGCCTCCCTGGAGCCTCCTTGCAGCAAAAAATGGGTGCAGGGAGATCCAGGGGGGGGGGGGGGGGGGGGGGGAGTCTGTTTGGGCTGCCAGGAGGCTTTCTAGGCCCTAAACAAGGCAGGGGGAGAAAGTAAGCCTTCAAGGGAGGAAGAAAGGAAGAAAAGGGAGAAAGAAAGAGGGAGGGAAGGAAGGAAGGAAGGGAGAAAGAAAGGGAGGGAAGGGAGAAAGCAAGCAAGAGGGAGGGAGGGAAGGGAGAAAGAAAGAAAAAGAAAGAAAGAAAGAAAGAAAGAAAGAAAGAAAGAAAGAAAGAAA